TATAATTAATTTATAACATATAATTTACTATTAATTTAAACATTATACAAATAGAAGAATGAAGAAGAGTACAAAAGTTACTGGAAACAATACTTAAAAGTAGAATGTAAAATCACCGACAAAGAAGACAACAGAAGTTTAATAAGATTTGATGTTGTAAAGTGGAAGAGATTGGGCAAAATAATCATATCGAAGTTCAAAGAGTCCATCATAAGACAGTCCTTCAGGTATAAGTCCAACAACAAAGCGTATGTCATCTTCTGGAGTTTAGATTACATAGAACATTAGAATGTAGAAGAGACATTCTTCAATAGTAGCTAAAGGTACAGAGATGCATTAGAGATCGGTAATAAAATATTTGGGTTTGAATTTGGAACCTGTATGTGATAAAAAGAATCATGAGAAAAATAGATTGATATATATATGTTAGAGTGCTTTTTGTAAAGCATAGAAACGATTAGGTTGTGCATATTGTTTACTGGAGGAACATAATAATCATGAGACAATGGAGGTATAATAATTTTGCAAGGTTTTTGATGAGAAATATAGGTAATTTCAGGAATAATTTGGTTAAATTGACAAGATGCCTGATAGAGTTTAAGAGATGAAATAGAAATTTGAATAATTAACAAAGGATATAATATAAAAGTTGAAATAGATAGAGTAAGGAATATTATGTGCAATAAATGGTTTTTAATTAATGGATAATAAAGAGAATGGATTGAGTAATTAAGTAGATTAATTAATAAAGAAGAATATATATGAGATGTCTTAAGAGGAATTAATTGAGAGTATAGAATTTATATAGGGTAAACATTTAAGGGAGATAAGTTAGATAGCAAGAGATACAAATATAAAAGTAAAGCAGAGGACGATATAATTAGATTTAAGTTGGTAAACATATTTTCCATAATTGGAGTGTGATATATTGTAAGCATTAGATGATAATAAGGAATTGTTAATATAGGATTAAGATTTGAATTTAATTAGATTATAGAAGATTGAAATGAAATAATAACGGTTAGATGGAATATCTTAATAAATAAAAGAATAAATATAAAATAAAGAAAACTAATAAGAATAATAATAAGAGATTTTAGGATTGAAACAATAAGAGATATAGATGATGAATAGGAGAGTAAGTAGTGCTTTAGATAATAAGGTAGCAAATTTACCAGAAATCCATGAGGATTACCATAATCATTTTGATTGTATGCATACAGATGGATAGACTCAATAAGATGTAGATGAATCTTAATAGAAAATCTAGGAGAATGTAAATACATTTCCTCATACAATATATACATAAGATTGTGAACATAGATAACCATGTAATACTATACCTATATTTGCATGTTGTAATAAAGCATATCCTTGTGCTTAATGTCATGGTTATAAAGTACATCCACCTAAAATATCTGTACCAAGTTATAGGTATTGTATGAAATGTTTAGAAATCTATTTAGTCATCTATCCTACTAATTAAGCTGTTAATTGTTTAAAATGTTCATGAATTTTACATTATTATTTATATATTAAATCTATAATACTCTCCAATTTCTAAGTAAATGTCAACAATACTCAAACATATTATATTTAGATCTATTATTATTGGCAGAACTTGTTCCACAAAGATCTGATTAAATAATCATATAAATAATCAAATTACAATAATCAGATGATTCTAATAATATTAATATAAACATCAATCTTATTTATAATCTAATTAATAATCATAAAAGTTTAATTATCCTAATTTTAATAATGATTCTCATTTTCAAAAGAACTTAAATAAATTCTTTGCTGCTGATCATCCTTCATAACCAAAAAATGATTCATTAATAAATATAATTATAACAACAAATTAATTCTATTGAATTTAATTAATTTGCAAAATTAGAATAAGATCCTAAATTCTAAAAAAGCCTACAATAATTTTATGGAATTAATAATACATCATAATCTTACAGTTGAGGATTAGTAATATTTACTATTTTTTAGAGGTGTCTAAGAAGCCATCTAACAAATTAATAAAATTAATAAAGTCATTGCCATTACAGATAGTAATTCTACTGCCAGAATTTAAGTTGTGGCCTTCTTTAAAACTAGAGCAATTGATGATTTTAATGTTTTAATTGTTACAGGAGACGCTTTTGATTTATAAAATAATTAAGTTAGGCAATCCAGTTTAAAATACAAACCATTTATTCAGCTTATAATATTTGTGAAATCTGTATCATATCTGTTATAGATAAAAATACTTGATTTATTATTATTCTATTTCATAGAATTCCAAAATCTATGTCAATATTAATGATAAAAGATAGGATCGAATCGGTATTTCTATTTCTGATATTAAAGTCATAATTGAAACAAACAAGTCTTAATATTCAATATAAATTAAATGGAATCATGATTGATCAAGGAGGAGCATTTTAAAAGGTATTTTAAATATTTGAGTTTGCAAATTAAATTAATATATTTTATAATTATTTCATTGTCATATTTTTATACTAATTAATTTAAAAATCAGTTAATTAGTTTCAGTCCTATTTGATTAAATATTATTTATTTTTTTCTAATAAATTAAGCTCTACCTCTAGTCATCCCCATCATTTTAACCTTCAACTATATCAATTAAATTTAAATTAAAATTTCTTACAAAAATTTTCTAATCCTTTATTTATAAATTAAAATAGATATACATCATATTTTAAATTGCAATTAATTTGTTATAATTGAAGAAAAATAAAAGAAAAAATTTAGATTTAATGAAGTATTCAAAAATCTCAGACGAAACAAGATTAGCCTTTATTAATAAAGTATAATAAGGAGTTTGTACAATTAAGTAGGCAGCAAAGTAATTTGGAATTAAATTTTCCACTGGCAAAGCCATTTTATCATTATATAAACATGAAGGTCGAGTAGGAAAAAAATAAAAAAGGATTAGAAAAATAAAGAAATAAAATGAATAAGATCAAAGAGAGACTGTAAAAAATATAAAAGATGAAACCATTTCAAATGTTAAATAAGGTTAAGAGGTTTAGAATGGCTAAAATAGTTATTCTTAATTTAACTCTTATGCCCAATAATATTATAATTACTAACAATGGTACAATACCAATGTCTGGTTGTAATACTTAACTGGAATGAGTTATTCAAATATTTAGTATTAAGGAAATAGATTTTGATAATATATAATGATATTTCCTAATATATTTCCTATTAATTTATTTACTCTACTTTAGTTCTTTAGTAAGAGAATATTCAAAAAGGAATTATTGATATTAGAGTTGCTTAGTACCTTTAGATTGTAATTTCAGCCAAGAATATATTGATGTTGGTTTGAATGGAAAAAAAGTTAATTATATATATCTTCATTTAAATAATTTTATATTAAAGATTATATTTGTTCTCATTTTTCTTAATTATATCACTATTACGAAAAATAATATACAATAATAATTTTAATAAACAAATCATAATTTATTAACTACTCATATTTATAAATAGGTAAAAACTGATTAAAATTGTGAATCTTCATTATCTAATAAAGCAATGTCTTCATTTAGAAATGTTACAAATTTAAATTAACACCACATTTATTCAAATATTTCAATCATTTCAATTATATTATCATATTTTTTATCAAGCATCATCCATTCATGATTCTTATTAAATGAATTAATTGTCCAATTAGCAGAAGAAGTTATTAAAATTTTTCCATCAATCACACAAAAATTTGTTGGTAAACTCTCTTATTTTTTAGTGTTTACTACAATCTTTATTTTAAATTCGCTCTCTATTAACAATTCACAAATCACTGCTTAAAATAATTCATCATTTCTTTAATTATCTTTACAATCCATAATCAAATATATTTTTCTTCCATCCTTAGCCAACAATACTAATAACTTTATTATCCAAGAATGATCTATTTCAGATATACATGCGATAATAAATTATTAGCAATCCTTTATCATATTAAAAAAGTAATGAAAATTCCATTTATTTGGAAAAAATATTGTTTATAATTATCTTTTCTCCATATTAAGTTTTCTAATACTATTCTTTCCATATGTAAACAACTAGTTATTCATTTATTAATTTTTATCACATATCAATGTGATATTTTATGCTTTTAAATTATCATCTTAATAATTTGTTATTTCTGAAAAAAATATATTTCAATATAAAATTAAATACTTAATTAATAATTCAATTCCCTAATATTCCTAACTTCTTTTATCAATATATATATACATCCATCATATTCTGTTTTATTTTTTTTTTATCCTTCACGATTATATCTTATAATCGTTGTATTTTTTGGCTAAGATAACCATTATGTATTCAAATTTACTGATTAATTATCAAAGAATATGAAATGAAATTTGAAATATCGAATGCCAATAATACATCAGAAGTACTTATTATGATTAGATTCAAAATCAAACTTCTTACATCGATTTATCTTAATATGGGTGTTTGAAATTATTTGGCTAATTGTAATTTAATTAACTAAACATTTATCATTAATATAAATTCATGAAAATATAAGAAGTTAGACAATTAATATTAGGCTATAAAAGAATAAAATTTTTGATTTTAATATTAATTAAATTCTATTGAAAAAAATAATAATAAATGAAGCAAATGCTCACCCTTAACCAAAGAATAATTAATTTACTTATAATATATTAATTTTTTAATTATCCTAAAACGATGAAAAATTGTTTATGTGGCGTAAGAATAAATTTTCTAATAATAGTATATTTTATATTTACTTGTTATCTTAAAACAATTTTCATACGAATTCTCTAATTTTACTTACTTAGATATATTCACCTATTTTCAAAATGGTTTTCTTTCTAATTATTTTGGATTAATATTTTTTGTTATTCTTTTTGATGATTACAGTCCTCAAATTAATGAAGAATATTTTTTTTGATTGCAATTTAAAATTTTATTTTAATTCTAAATCTTAATCAATTCTATTAAAATTATTCATTCCTATTTACTATTTACTTCATCTTTAGTTCAATTTTATTATTTGTTAACATTCAAAATAATTATAAATGTTTAAAATCCATAATTTTTAAATTTCGCATAGAATAATATTCTATCAACTTTTATAAGATAAAATGTATAATCTTTTTAAAAGTTTAATCAAGTTAATTGTCTAGATTAAATTTTTTGAATAATAAGATGATTTTTTAGAAATGCTAAAATTAATTATATATATAAATTTAATTTTGCAGTTTACTTGAATTGAAATAAAATTTATCTTAGCATCAATACCATATATTCTTTTTCATTTTTAATTATAGTTTTTATTACTAATAATTTTAGGAAGTATTTATTGCAAATTTTTATTTTTCTGGCGATTAAGCAACTATTGAAGAGATATTATTAAATTAAAAATTTCAATAATTTAGTTATCTCATTTTTGCTTATTTTATTGAGAAAATCCAATTATTTAGTATTTGTTCATACATCATTCAATTTAAATAAGGACCAAAAAAAAATTTTTATTTCATATTTTTGTAATTTTTACATTTCAATACTTATAAATAAATACAATAAAATTTTGATCATAAAGAATAATATATTCACAAATTGTTTTAATTTAAAAGATTAAAACCCTTTTTAGATTTGCCTCTAAAAAGAAGCAAATGGTTAATTTGAAGGTAAATGATTATTGTGAATCTATTTTAATTAATAAGGTGCATTAGACAAGTTTAATTAAATAAAAATGATTAAACATTATCCAAAATAGATTTTCCATAAAAAAAAATTCCTTATTTTTGAGAATAGGCTAAAGTTTGGAATAATAATCAGTTTTAATACTATAATTTGATTTTACTACAAATCTGATTTATTTATCAATCAATATATATAGATATTTAAGATTATATTAATTGACAATAATAAATTAGAGAATCTCAAATTAAAGTTTAATTATACAAAAGGATCATATAAGTAAAAGTAGAGTTAAAATAAGAGATATAATAATTTATGACTAAGATCTTTTTTATGAATTTACAATATATTCAGATAAATCTTAGATAAATTTAATTATTTATTAATTTTTAAAATCAATGATTAGAGTATTAATAAAAATAAGAGAGATGCTAGATATTAATTCAAGTGGAAATCATAATTAGATTTATTGATTGGAATAGATAATTTAATATATTTTAATAAAATTATTATAAATATAATTATATATATTGCATTGAGATTTGAAGAGTTTAAAATACTCAATAATAAGAATTTGATGAAACGAAACGTAAAGTTAAAAATAGTGTTATAGGAATGAAAAGATGTGTCAAAATTAGAGAAATAATTTCATAAAATTGATAACATAATAATTTATCAAATCACTTTGTTATATAGATTTATGACATAAAGAGTTTGTATTATTAATTATTAATCTGTTTATTAATAATTATTATGAAGTTCTTAGGTTATTTTTATTATTATTAATTTTTGTTATATTTAATATTCATTTTCTTAGGAGTTTTTATTGCTCATACAAAATTTCTTCTATAACATATAAACAATCTTTTAATTTTCCTTTTATTCTCAATTAAGATTCAGAGTTTCTTCTCTAATTTTATTAGATTTGATAATTACCGAGTCATCAACTTAGATTTCTACTTTATATTACTCTTTATATTGAGCTAATTTATAATATGTTTCTAAAATATCCATAACTTCATTAGAAACAATTATTTTAGTAGATAAGATATTAGGACTTTCTCTTCTTTTGGAGAAACTAAAATGTAAAATTAAGTTTATTTAAAATACCTCGATGATACAGATCTTCTTTCATTTGATCTTTTTCTTTAATGTTTATGCTTTCTTCTTGATTATGATCTTGATCGTGAATTTCTTTCAGATATGGAACTAGCTTTATATCTAATAAACGAATGTAAAAATATATAAACCTCTTAACTTTGTGTTCTTCATAATTATTTGATTATTAAGAAGTTTAATAAAAATTTTCATCATTTAAAAATTTACCACTTTCCATAATCTATTATAAAATATAATAAAAATACTGGTCCTCCATTTTTAAAACATTCAATTTATTATAGTATTAATTTACTAGCATCTTGTTTACTTTATAGAGTGCCTGCAATTTATACAATACAATCTAAAAATGAATAAAATCAATATACTATAATCATGATCAGTTTCATCTTTATCTGATAAGACTTTAATTTAAGCCCCTTTTGATTTAGTAGCTAATTCTCTAATTTAACAACCCTCTAAAAAATAATAAATAATAGATACTAGCTCCTATCAATTTTGAAGCATAACTAGCTGGCATAACTATTTTGATTTCTAATTCTAATTGTTTAAAATGATCATTAATCCTTCTAATTTGAGATGACAATGCATCTTATACATTGGATAAAGAACCTTAAAATTAAATTATTTTATCATCTCTTTTAAGTTTGCACATTTGCTATTATAAAGATTAATAAAATTATTTTACAGTGAGTCTAATGTCATTACTATCCTTAGTTTTAATTTAGACATTTTATTTAGTTTCTAAATCATTTTTATATTTCAAAATGAAATTTGCAATTTAAGATTAGAAAATAAGTTTCGCCTACATTATTTGTTTGAGTAATTACTTTAGCAGTAACTTTTTATGGATTAAAAGCTTCAGGAAATTTCTTATAATCTTCTTAAGATATCCCTCTCTCCTACATTTTTTTAGTTATAGCCTTAATAGCACAATTAATGGTCGTTTAATCACCAATAATTTTAACAGTTCTAGGAGAGTAATTGAGTATAGGTTGATTTACTGTTATTTTAGCCTTTGTTTCTTCAATTATTTTTGCCAGCTATGATCCTTTAGATCCTATTAAAAATGATACAATTCCTTAGATCAATATAAAAAATACCTTCTGGAATTAAGAGAATGATATTTAATTATTAAGTGTTTCTCTCATACAATTATTGAAGTATATAGAGAGCAGCATCACATTTTGCATTCATTTTATTTTCTCCAGGATCATCTATTGTAAATGCTTGACCTTCTAACTCTGGTATTTAATATTTCGGACTAACATGGATAGATTTAATTGAATATTTTTGCTTATTTACATTTTATATTGTACTTATGCATCCTCTAATATTTATTTAAAATTATCAGAAATAAACTTCTTTTAGATAAAAAAATCAAGTTGAAATTCTTTAGATCTTGGGATTTGATTCTAATGAGATGATGATTTTGAAGTTTATGGTGAAAGACCTCTTTAATCTTCCATATTTATATTAATTAAATTAATTGATGTCATAAATCAAAGATTAATTGCCTGATATTTCTAGCATACCAGGTATTATGTTCTACTCATTTATATCATATTGGTTGATTTTTGCTTTGAGCATAGTTGTGGATAGATTAATGTTCTCAGGAAAGAACAATGAGAATAGCAAGATGAGAAAAATTATCAAAGCCAGAGATATTAAGAAATAATAAGCTGATAAATTATTGAAGAAAATTGATAAAGTCACAAAATGAAATTTATAAATGTTGTAGAGTTATTAAACAAAATTAATTATTCGAATTAAATTTAATTTAAGGCTATATGCTCAGAGGCAATAAAGTTTAAAATTCATTCTGCTAATCCATCCCATGCATTATTAGACCAAATTTATAAATGAATAGACCATTATTGTGGTTTAATACTTAATATAAAGAAGAAACAAGAGTAGATTATAAATTTAATTATAGTTGGAGGACATTAAATTACCTTAATCAGTTATAACTCAAAAATTGAAGTTCTTAGTAAATCGAAATGATTTTATGAAGGAGTTAAGCAATTTTTCATTGCATTCAATTCAATCATAATATTTTTAGAAATCTTTGTATGATATCTCAAATGTAATTATATTAAAGATATATTTAGTTTATTGAGTATTCTCAATTAAGTAATTAAATTCATATCACTGAATAGGATGCATCAATGTCTGGTTTAAAATTGTTTCAAGCATTTTCACCAGAACAAATAAATTTATTAAAATTTCATTTTAATTAGCCTTAAAGTATAACAAGCATTTCATTTATTGATGGAGCAATCAATCTAATCAAGAATACATAATAATTTTAAGATAGTTTGTTTGTAAATCTTGCATCTAACTTATTTGAATTATTTTATGAACCTTAAAGTTCTAAGAGATCAAAATAATAAGATGAAAAGTTTAAAGAACTCTTTTAGGAAATAGGAATATTATTATATAAGTTTGATTATTTATCATAATCTTAACCTTTGAATATAGCCAAATTTATAGGACAATTATATGATTTGATGATTACTAATTCAATTAAATTGAATGATATTACTCATTATCGTAAGACTGCCAATAATTTCATATAAAAATATTATGGAATTCAATCCCATAAGATGATTTAACCTAATATTGTTGATTATAAGAATATATTATATACAATATTTTTAAGTGAAATTAGGCCTGAAGCATTAATACAAGATGCTGTCAATAGGTAATATATTTATATATTGATTTAGATTTGCTAATTCTGGAATATAGAATGGTTCTATTACATCAAATATCGATATAATGAGTATGATGTTATTACATGGTGTTCCATGTACTGAGAATTTTCTTAATAAACTAAAGAATTCTAAAAGATAGAGATTAACAATAGGATAACTTTATGTTTTATTAAAATGTTATGAACTTGCTAAAGTACCTTTACATGAATTCAGTCAAACATTATTTTTGGAGTAATTATTAATATAATTTTAGTGTTGTGAGTTTTATATCTCATGATAAATAATTATAAGATGGAAATTCAGTTTTAATGTTAGCAAGAATTTGTAATGAGTTATTTTCAAGTTCTTTCATTACTTCAAAAGTTGCTTAAGAAAAAAGAAATGATAAAATTCTTAATTTTCTTGAAAGGAATGTTTAAAGATATATTGATTAACTTAACTTTAATCATATACTTTTTATTTCCAATGTATTTAATAAACATCTAAAATAACCAAATTTCTTGATTAATATACTTCATGATAAATTGAATGATATTAAACTTAATGAAACTTCCCTTAGTCTATATAATGACTTCTTAGAAATTACTTATGAATTCTATAAAGAAAGTTACACTCACATTAAATAACAAGTATTTGAATATGGGACATCACCTTCACAAGAATATTTAGCAGTTACTAAAACTTTTGTTGAAAATTTAATCCAATTTCAATTCACCAGTCTACTTGCCACTAACATTTTAAAAGTCGCATCCTTATCATGTAAACAACAAAACAATTAACAATAGGTTTTTAATTCGATAAATCAATAATATTAAAACTCATCTCTAAACCGAGTTTATTCTCTAACGATGTCAATATTTTAACTAAAGTAATGAAACAATATGATATTCCAATGAATCCTGAAATTTTTAATATTGTATTAAATGAAAACAAAGATGATTAAGTTATGATACTAGAATCAATCTATAATATATGTCAAATCAATAATTTAAATACAGATCAAAAGATCCAATTAAAATAATATGTATAAAACATTATTTATACATTATTGGCAGAAAATGAATAATATTTAGTGGAACAAAGATAAATAGATGATTTTTTACATACTTACTCTTCATAAATTAATTAATAATCTTTTGAATCTATCAAATATTTCCCAGAAATTATTAATACCTTTGAAATTACTTTTGAGACTGAATAACTAAATATTCTTAATAAATTATATGAACGAACTTGCGTTTTATGGCATGGAGATATCTTAATAAAGAATTTAATTTTAATTGATAAAATGAATGTAAATATAGTTTAATTAACTTATAGATTCTTAATTATTAGATATATATAAAATCAGCAGAGAATATCCTTAGTTGCTTTGATTTAGGAAGAGATGGAACAGATGCTACACCATCTGGTTTTCTTGCAGATAATAATGTATAGATATCTCTACTTAAAATTTACTTAAATTAAATTCAGAATTCTACTTATTAATATTCAGAAAGCTTAAAAATCATAGGTTATTTAGCATATCTAAATATTACTTAGTTGGGTGCCGAAGATATTATGGTAATTGATATATTTAATAATTTAGCTACTTTGCAAAGCTTTAGGTAACATTACAGAATTATACTTTCCAGAGTTATAAAATTATCTTGAAAATTAATTAACAGAAACTTAATTGCCTAATGAATAAAACATAGTTTAATTTAGTTCCTAATTTCCTTTTATAAACATTAAAGTTCGTGAATTATTACTAGAAAACTTTAATAAAAATAAAATGGAATATTTAACATTAGAAAAATTAAATGCTTCTTAAAATCAATAAGTTGGTATTTAGTAAATTGATTAATTGTTTGAATAATTGGATAATTAAGAAAAATTAAAATTTATCAAACCAATTCTTTAGAATTTAAATTTAACTTGGGATCTTTAATATTCTATTGATACAATTCTAAGATTTGCAGAATAATGTTATAATGAATAAGACACTGAATTCAAATTATTATATTTGATATTAGATTATTTAAATAAAACAAAATCAATGGTCTAAGTAAAGTTGTCATAAGATGAAACTTATTTTAAATTAAAATTTGATAAAAAAATTGTTGATATTACATTTGAAAACAAAGTTTAAGAATTATTTAATTAAATTGATATAAAAGGATTGAATTTTAAAACATCTAAAGACAATATAATTTACTATCCTTCAATTACTACAGAATTAAATTATAATGAATTACCTAAATATAAAGTTTCTATGGTTAAAAAACAATAAAAACCATAAGAAGATGTTAATGAAAGCAAGGATTAACTTTCATTCTTTTTAAAAAATAACATAAGTCGTTTGGCACTTTAACCCTAATACAAGTATATAGAATTTATAATTTAACTTATGACATTGAATGGATTGGATATATTCAAATATTTTACATAAATTCCAAAAGAAAGTTATACTAAAAGAATTCAAATGATTAAGAAAGATAAGACATATTTAGAATTTTTAGTAAATATGCAAACAAATATGGCAGAAATGGATAATTAATTTCGCTTTGTTAGTGGAATAGAAGATGTTTAACTATCTTTATTCATCTGTTTAAAACTTGAAAATATTGAAAGTGAAACATATCCTCCTATATTTATATAATATGTGTCTAAAAATAATACAGTTATATCATAAAATGGTTTATAGTTAAATCCTTCTATTTTATTAGAATCTATGGTATTAGCTGAACAGGGTCATGTTTATTTAATCAATTTTACAAAATGGATATAAATCTATTAGAATAAACCAAAATAAAAAGAATTTTTTTTAAAGTTGATCCAATGATTTATAAATAAGAATATCTATTTATATATTTAATTATTTATTTATAAATAAAAATATTTAGAGTCACTCTTTCATTTTTTTGTTATAATATTATCAATACAAGGTAAAGCTAAGGCCTCTCCTAAAAGATAAGTGAATTATTTAACACTTAATTATTTAGTTGTTAAATCTAAATATATATAACTCTCAAATGCAACTGAATATAATTAATTGTTATCTCCATTATAATTATCAAGTACATTTTATTTAAAATACTCGTTATTATTTTCTTATTAATCTTTTTAGTTTCCACATTCCAATTACATTTCATCCTTTTACTTTTAAGGTTAATCCATCAAATTATAAATTTATTTTTTTTCTAATTTACTTTATATATTTTCAAATTATTAGGCATTAGAATCGTTCTGATAAAAGGATAGATTATTTGACAATTTTTATCTTCTTTTTTCATCAAAATCTTTTATTTTAATTAAATGATCTTGAATATCTTCCTCATCTAATTCAATTTAGATAAGATAAGAAATAATCATTTCTATTTCACTTTTTTAATCTTTAATTAAAAAAATATTACCATTTTCATTTCTTAACAAAGTTTTATCTTATTTTGTATTTAATTCTAAACAATAATCCAATTTCAGCTTTTAAATTGATTCAATTTTCAAGCTTTAAGTATAAATCACTCTCCATACAACTAATTATTATTATTCATCTTAATATATAATTTAAGAATTTGATTAACTATTAGTAATATAGCTTAAACCATATGATTATTTCCCAAAATATGTTATAGGTATATTTGATATTGAAAAATCGACTGCTTTTTTAATTAAAATGATTGCATTTTAAGAAAATTAACTGTTTATAGGATGATTTTGACTTTTCTATCTAAGTATATCATTTCCAGGTAATATTAAATAGCATGTATCATTTTTATTTTTAAATTCTAAAACTGTTTAGTTTGGATAAGGTTTAAATGATAATTCTTTAAATAACACACTCTTATCTAAAATACCTGTTACAAAATCTGTAGATCTAATTTCTACATATTCAATTAGATTCATTATCTAAGGAGATCTATTTCATATCATTATATATTTTTACTCTATATTTTCACCTCCAAAAATTACAATCTTTAAAAGATGTTCATTTGAATTTTCAATACAAACTGTTGGTGATACTCTAGCTTTTATTCTTTCTTATAATTATTCATTTGTAAATTTTGAAAAAGCAATTTTTGAATGAAAACTACCTTAATTTAATTTTTCTTTGTCATTAAATAATAATATTGTCTATTCTTATGTTTTAATATTAAATCTTGTGCATTTCATATTGATTTGATAATTTTATTAACCATAGAGAACATAAATTTGACTATTCAAATAAAATACTATCTAATTTTGAATTTTATCAAAATCTAGAATGTTACTGATATTTTTGCTATTTTTAGAGATGTATAAATTACAATTAAATCTTTAATATTTTATTTTAATCTTTAAAATGTTAATTTTCTATTTAAAGAAAATATAAAAATTTAGATTCTCCATTTTAATACAATATAATGATATCATCTTAATAATTAATTATAATCTATGTATAGGGTGTTATTTAATGGTTATTTTCCAATAGAGGACAAATAGTCAAATATCTCTTGGTATCTTTTTTATAAAAGACTTTCTAAATTTAATTTACTTATTCTCTACAAGGATCATTTTAAATTTCACAGATTTCTTGAAATTGGTTTTACAATTATATAAAAGTGTACTGAAATTATTCTATTAAATGATATAATTCAAGTTTTTGATATTATACTTTTATGTTTTAAATAAGACGATATAATTCTTATTTTTCTTTTGGAATTAACTATTAAATTGTAATATTTTATTCTTGAAATGAAGAATAACAGAGATTCATTAATTGAGTTAATTTCATTAGAAAATCAGGTCTATCTTCATTAATTTCAATATCTATATGAATAATTAATTTATTATGACTTAATTTAATCAGTTTTTGAATTAAAAATTATATTCCAAAAGTATCATAATCAATATCATCAGATAATGATAGACTTAATGCTATATAAGAATTATGTGAGAATTTTTCAATTCTATTATGCATAAAAACGCTGAAAAAGGTTTTTAGTAATTATCCATGTAAGAGAAACCTTTGATTTTTATTTTAATGACTCAAATATGGAAATAAATTAAAATTGCTATTTACAGATTTCATATTATTGAAATAAATTTAGAAATCTTTAAATTAGGTTTAAATATCTCTATCTTCTTAAATGTTAATGAATGAGAAATAAATGAACTCATCAGATTTATCCAAATACTATTAAAAATGATCTAGATTTATTAAACTTTCTTTTCCACTCAGATTAATAAATATCACTTTATTGGCTTTGAATGATGTTTCTGTTGGATTTAATGCTATGATAAATATATTAATAATTAATTACGTTTTTTTGTTTGTCTCATCTATAAAGCTACAGCTTAAGCAAAATAATTAATATAAAATTATTTTGGTGTACTTTTGATAGCTTAGACCATCATAAGAACATTATTAACAAAACCTTCTGCTTATTTTTCTGCTGCTTCATTAACATAATGAAGCAGAGTAACATTTTATTTCATATATTCTAAAGCATTTTAATCTGGAGATTTCATGCTTTTTTAAGTTAAAATATGCTTTAAAAAACTCTTCTCTCCAAGTTTTTCTTTTTCCATTTTCGGTAATATTGTTTTCTAATGGTTTTGTAACCATGAAATTACTGTATTTACAATATTGGGTTAATTATCAGGTTATTCTTTGTAAAATAAGTAATTACAATTATATGAAACTGATCTATAAATAGTGAGTACTGCATTTCGATCACTTAAATCTTTATAAACAAAATATTCATTTCCTTTTCTTTTTTTTGTTGATCTACCCTAATATGAGTTTAAATTTCATAATACATATTCCTCCATTATATCTTTGCTATATGTATGTACAAAAACTTCTATAGCAGAAATATAATTGTTTGAGAAAAATCTTTCATCATCTTCTTCTTACATGTTTAAATTATTTGTGAATATAGATATTGAATTAAAAAATTAACATAGAATTGTAATACTTATATAACAGGAAAAAATCATCTTCTTATTACAACATATTTAAATTATTACAGATTTTAGATAGAGAATAACAATATTAGTATATAATTGTTGTTCTTATTATAGCAAGAAAAAACAATATCTAAATATTTAATTATTTTTTAATAAGTTTTCTAAAAATATATTATTCCTTAAACTAAAGAAATAAGTTTAAATTATATCAATTTTATGGGAAATATTAATTCAAATGTTAAGAAAAAGAATGGGATCGGAAACAAATTAATGTTGTTTTTGGGAATAAGATTAGATAAGTATTAAAAATATCATTTTAAGTTAGTTAAACAAATTATCTATAAAAATAATCACAACAATCTCTAGTTTTTTAACATTAAAAGAATATAATATAATGTTGTAAGTATCTTCTACAACAAATAAGCTTTTTGGTTAAGTGTCTAGTTGCTATTAAGTTCATTGTTAGAAACTATTAAATGTGAATAGTGATTTAGTACATTCTTAGAATTGGAAATAGATGTTGAAATTATTATTGTGTACACCAATAAAAGGCATTCCATATGAAAATGCTTTAAGAAGTATTCGATTCAACATATATTAACATCCTGCATTTATTGAAGATAAGATTAATTACAGCACTTTTTAGAAAGGCATTCTATATTTCGAAAGCTAATTCTAAAAAGTACAAACTAAAGAATTTGAGTAATTAAAGAAGTTTGCTAAAATTCATTTTGAATAAATATTAAAATTAAGATAAGGATGTGAAATTCATATATAGATGCCATAATAATTGATGAACATATATAGTATATAGGATTATATAAAAATTTATAATGTGTATTTGAACATAAGATTTGATAATGTTAATTTAGTATAATTTATTGAATTGTGGGATAGATATTGTGGATGGATAAGTATAATGGAATGGTCTACCTTAACATTAATTGCTTAGTTCAATTAAATAATAGAAGAAAATTTAAGGAAATATCATTTGCCTAAATTTACATTTCGTCATTTCATGGTTACTTTATGGATAATGAATTCTAATAAATGTCTTAAAACATTAAGATAAGAATTTAAAGAGAAATTAATTCAAAGTAGAATTAAAAATATCAAAATCTAATTGTTAAGAAGATATATTTAATAATTAATTGATATTAGCACAAATCAATCAAATATTTAATAATATGGATAAGCTAATTTTTAATATCATTCTGAAATTTATGCTTTGGCAGATATTGCAATATAGATGACATCAAACTAGAATTATTTTTAAGATGAATAAATATTGATATACACTTTTGGTGAGTAAATTTATAAATTTATAATATTTTAAAATTTATACTTAAATAGAATAGAATAATTTCAAAATTAAATAACTTAATATAAAGAAGCAAGTACTTTAGCATAAATTAAGTAATTTTAAATATCTGATGATCTTGATTAACATAGTAAGGTTTTAGGAAGATATAATAAAAAATAATAAATAAGAGAATTATTTAGATAAATTTCAAATTAGAAAGTTGAAGATAAAGATAATCATTATTAGAATGATAGTAAATAGAGTCTAGAAATTTCATCTATTTCATAAACTTCAACAAAATGTAGTTTTTTGTTTAATAGTATAAAGAGTAATGATGTTTTATTAAATTACATTTAGATGTTTTAAAAAGATTTATACAATTAAATCGAGCATTTCTATTAGATGTAAGACTCAATTATTGAATAAATGTAAAACTTAGAAAAAGAATAATAGTAATATGATATTCCAGATTTGGCAGAGTATAAACCAATGAAATATGAGAGTGTAATTGAAAAATTAAATTAAGTGAGATAAAGATAGAATAAAAATAGGAGTTTAAATGAATCACCTTCTTCAATATATGGAAGAACTACAGCTTAAGAAATGCTTTAAAGAGTTATCAGTTGAAATTATTTTAATTGATTTAATAATATTTTCAAACTCAGTAAAATTTCACATGATAGTCTAATTATTCTTTATTAAATTGATTTAAAATTTATATCCTTGAAGATTTATTTATTTCTGAATCAAATTGTAACTCAGGGAATTAGTTTTTGATTTTATCAACCAAATAAGTTTCATCATTAATATTACTGAATAAGTAACATAATGTTCAACTAGAGAACAAACTTTAGAGCTAATATTCAATTCAAAGTTATTTGCATATAATTCTAATTAAACATTAAGGTTCAAGATCACAATTTTTTTTCAAAGAAAGCATTTTCATTAAATCTTAATTTAATTTCATTTGATTTTCCCTAACTAATGGCCCTATATTTAAAGAATTCTCTGAATCTTTATTAACCTAGATTACACTAATCCTTCAGATAGTAATTTAAATGATTAGGCAATTCTGATGATTCCTTCAATAATTTAAAGAATCATCTTTATATGATTCATGAATATTTATTATTTAATTTTATTTTTTAAATTATATTTTTATTGAAGTATATTTTTAGTAATACTAATTAATCTAGCAATAATTTAAAGTTAGATATATGTGAGGATGGCTTAGTTTAATGAAGTTAGAATTGAAGTTAGGTAAATGTTTCAAATACTTTGATCTATATTGTAAAATCCAGAAACTCTCTTCTTTCTTACATTAATTTTACTTTAATTAATTTTATTTGTATTGAGTATCACCTACTCAAACCTAACATTTATTAATTTTAAATAGAATTACCCTGATACTATTTTTTACTTAATGAATCAAAACATAGTTAGCATCAGATGTTCTATAAATTAATGTTTAAACTATTCATTTAATTATCTTCATCAAATTACTCTCCTTATTGATAACTCGATTCAATTATTTTTTAGAATAAAACCGAAATTATTCATTGATATTCATCCAAATACATAAAAAATTTCATTTTTAAGTTTATTAATAATTTATATAAAATAATTATCAATGAAATAATGGAAATAGAACTATTTTTTAATTGTTTATAAATCATAAGAAAAATGAAATATTGAACAAATAATTGTATTAATAATATTAGTTCCTTTGTTTGTTTTTTTAGTTTCTAAATAAGTACAAGATAGATATTAAACATATTTGAGTATTCTATAGTTAATTTAGTTTATTTATTATAGATTGTCATATTTGATAATAAATTACTAAGATCAAGTTTTTATAAATCAAATTAGGAAATGGGGAAATAATAATTTAGTATATAAATTGTTGAAGAACAAGAAAATCTTAAAAATTAATTCATAGGAGATTGATTATTGAATGATTATTGATGTATTATTTTATA